TATGCTATCCTTTTTTTTCTTTATTTTTTTTTCTTTATCGGAGTATATTAGAGAGTCTAATATCTGCAGGGCGACGACACTGGAAATGCACCATGCAACAGTGATGTGTTTCGTCGAAAAAGAGTGACAGCATTGATCGCTTCCTAAATATTTAGAGCGATGATGTTCGCACATCGCTCTAAAACTAAATAAGCTAATCTCTGTTCGTATGGGTATTGCGTGATTTAATTCTTGCAATGGTACTTTGGTGTCAGCAGGGTCTGTATTTCTTGCGGCCGCCACCCCCGAGCGCGTGGGCGCCGCACTGAGCGGGTAAGCGTCCTGCAAGGTCTGGTTACGATGTAGTATTCGCTACCCCCCCTTCCCAATACGCTCTGATTTTATTTTTATTTGCCGTTTTTATTCCCCCTGCTTCCTCGTCCCGGCTGGTCGTCGCCGCCGCCCCCACTCTCGCCATATAAGAGAACGCGTGAGAGAAACGGCCAACACGAGAAGAAGAAGATGAAGAAGAAAGGGGAAGAAGAAGAAGCAGAAGCACTTTACCCTTCACTTCGAGGGGTTACTGGTTGCCCCGCCGCCACTCTGCCTGTCCTGCCCCGCGGTCCCAGGGGTTTGAAAGGGCTGGAATAGCATTACGGTTAGGGTGTCACACACACACACACACACACACAGAGCGAGGGGGGGGGGTGCACCCGCTGCACTATACGTACACGCCAGAGCAAGCATCTGTATGCTAGCGGACTGAGCCGCGCAGACTCCGCTCGGACCGACCGGACCACCGACCCGGGCTGAGCGAAATCCCGCACGACTAGAGTTGGCAGAAAGTTTTCGTCGGAGAAGAAGCAGGGGGCGAGGGAGGGGGAGGATAGTGCAACTCGCCGGTCACTAGCTCTAGCGGCCTCTGGGGCCGCCTCGTGGGATCTGGGGTCGGACGGCGGGGAGCTGCACCGTAGTGCCAGCGGCAACGCGCTGAGTGCTGGGTGCTGTTGGGAGCGGGAGCTGAACAACCCAGGCCCGGTGTCCAACTTGGTTGTGAGTCTGTTTACCAATCTGGCAATATGCCTTTCGGCATATAAAGGAAGGGGCACGCGCATGCGGTGGGTGGTCTATGAGTTCCCCACCGCAGGGGCTTCGCGAGGGTTGGGAGTGCCGCACGCTGGACACGCGGGTGCGGCGGGTGGCCTATGTGCCCCACCGCAGGGGCTTCGTGGGGACTCCTATTCAGCCAACAACCGCTCGCTTGGAGTGGGACCTGACTAAGCCGTATGGGGCTCTGTGACTCACCTGGTCGACGATGATGAGTTCCCCGGTGTCCTCCAGCACCCGCGAGAAGTGCGCCACTCCTGCAGAAAGGCAAAACAAAAGAAACAAGGGTTAATCAGGAGGTTCAACGACGACTCTTTCAGTCCGCAGACCGCACGAGACAAACACATGTATTGTTCTTTTACGCCTACGCAATGAACTGTGACACATTCCATTTTTAACTGCCACCCCCCCCCCCTACGAAAAAAGCAAAGACGGAGAACAACCAACATTTTGACTGCTTTTATTTGGAGTTTCCATTTCTGCCACATCACACATGCCCATAACTCTACTGCCCACACTAAACCGACCGTAAGTGGCTCGTTTTGCACGGCTGCAGTCCATCCCGTCCACCACTACCCCGTCCCCTTCCGTGCGTTGCGTTCCCCCCGTGGTCGCCGCCATACTCTGAATAATCCCGTAAACACCAGCTAGCCCCACACCGACACATGGGCTAACCCCATCGCAAACCTGTATCCCCCGCCGAGCCACATACTGCGCCGCCTCCGTGCTCACCGCCCCGCCGTCGGCTACCCCGCCCAATCATCTTCCTCCTCCCCGCCCTTACCCCACCCCAGCGCATCACTCCGACCCCACCCCGTCCGCCCCCGGTGCAGTGGATCTCGCGGCTCTCACGTCAGCCGGCGGATCCCCCGGGCTCTAGTGAGCCGGCTAGCCCGCTCGTCGTGCTCCTGGGAATTAGCTCGGCACACAGAGGAGCTCCAGAGTCCCCGGCACATTCAATCTACACATTTAAAATATTTCTATGCATCGCTTTCTGTAAAGTTGGTCGGTCACGCGCCTTACTCTGCAGGTAAACGTGAGCGTGACATCGCGAAACAGAATCACAAATAAAAAGAATCGCACTAAAAGAGCGTTTGACAACCATATCGTACATACACACGTTTGGTGTGTTATAGAACTATACTTGTAGTCGCGGCTGTTCTGTGCTCGGCTCGGCGTGCACCACATTAAAGGGGTGTATGCAACCCAGTAAAATCTCCCCCGCCCCTCTCCCTACCCACGAGCAGATGAAATATGCATGTGTCACTCGATGACGTCATCGGAGCGCGCGCGCGCGCGTACACACACACACACACACACACACACTTGTAAACATGGCGCCCCTCGGGGACAAAAGCGCAGCTCGCACACACGTACCTAAAAGGGGCCGCCGCCACCGCGAGCAGCAGAGCAGACAGATATTGATGGACGAGGTAGTTCCCGGGCGGGCCCACCTCGGGCCCCACACACGGCGATGCAAAGTAAGAGTGGTGGGTTTGGCGCAGGCTTTCCCGCTCGTGCGCCTTACGTACGGGCGGCTTTGCATGCGCACTCGGGTCGCGGCAGGAGGGGTTCGGCGGGGTTCAGAGGGGTTCAGCGGGAGTTCGGAGGGGTTCGCGGTGGCGCGCATGAGGCAGGATTGCGGCCCGGATATCGTTGGCCCCGTGTGTAGGTATAAGGTTACCGCGAGCTGACTGAGTGTGTGGGCGAGAGTGCATACGAGATTGCGGGCGGGAAAGAGCTGTTTGGCGGTCGTGAGGGAGGTGTGTGCGAGCAGCCGCGGCAACGCTCGCCGAGGGACCGCTCGTGTAGCAGTATAGTGTGGGTGTGGGTGGGCTGCTCAGCACCTGCAGAGGGAGAGGGAGTGAGTGAGTGAGAGAGAGAGAGAGAGAGAGAGAGAGAG